TTTTTTTTTTTTTTTTTTTTTTTTTTTGGCGGTGCCTACCTTCCTCTCTTGCAGCTGGGGATGGCGAGCTGCTGGCAGGCCAAGTGACCTGTGAGCTGTGGGGGGTCCCGGTTCTTCCCTCAGTGGTGGTGGTGCCCCACCAGGGCTGCCCAGACAAGTTAGGTGCTGCCCCTCCTGGGTTGGGGGCCTGAGAGGCAGGCATTTAACATGGCGTTCAAGCCAAGGTGTCTTTCTCTACATTCAGACCTCTCCTTTATGTTGCATGCTGCTAACAGAGAGATCACCTCTCCTCTTTATCCATGATCTCCCATGTTAGCTGCTTTTGTTTGGCACTGTGACCTCCATGCTGTGAATCAATAAGGAATACCTATGCAGGGGCTGAACTTGGTTATTTGAGCTCACGACTAGATGATAAAATACCTCTCTGTGTTTGGAATGAATTGCAAACAAATGTCCTTGATCTGGCTTTCACATAGTAATTTCCTTAAATCCTTTCAGATGATAAACACATCCACCCACGTATACCAAAATGAAAGTGAGAATAAAAATGCTAAGTATTTAAGGCTTTTAGAGAAGCAGATGGGAAGGGAGAGGTTGTTGCTTGGGAGGCATTTGGATTCTTCTGTGATGCTGTCCATATACTTTTTCGTTGTGTGATTTTTTTGCAGGGGGTAAGTTGATGTACTTCCTTGTGCTTTAGTTTTACTTAATAATTAATATTTACTAGCCTATATCAAAGCGTTTTATAATTCTTAAATGCCCCTTTAGTTTTGGCTGGCAACAGCATTGCTCCTAGGTTGGGCAATTTGAAGAGAGGCTGCTCACTTGAGCTGAGTTGCAAGGGGACATGCTTTCCGTCTGAATACGTGAAATCTCTGATCTGCTTTTTCACTTTTGCTGTAATGCATGCTTTGGGCATGAGACTGGAGCGAATCTTGGTTAGGACTGAAGAACATGCTTGTCAGAAACCAGTGCCTCTTCAAAGGGTGTAGACATATTTATGTAAGGTTCCATGAAAGTAGTTGGCTGATTTAGCCCCCTGTGTGACTGCAGGTTGTTTCTCTAGTCTCTCAGGGTTTTTAAGGAACTGAAAATTCATTTGAAAGTAAGCTTGCAACAATTGCATATGTGCTAAGCATCTTTAAATCTTGCAGTTGTTTTCACATTCTCTCTAAATATTGTTTTACTGGGTACCTATTTTGCCAGCACAACTTGTGTACCAGCCTTTAGAAAATTTGCCTCACACCAAAAATGTCTCCTCTCATGACGGTTTTAAAGGATGTGGATCAGCTTTAGTCCTGGTATAACTGGGTAAAGTCCCATTAACTTAGATCAGGGCTGTCCAAGTGGTAGCCGTCAAGCCATGTATGATCTGTGAGGGGTTAATTTGTGACTCCTGGGCCTCCCACCTGGCTGCTGCTCACCCCATCGCTCCAGCTGCGGCAGTAGCCAGGGTCTCCGGGCCAGCAGCATAATAAGTGTGGTTTGTGCCCTGGGCAAGCCGTATGGGAGAGCAGGGTGGGGAGAGCTGGGTGGTATGCACTGCAGGAGACTTACTCAAAACAGTCCCCAGCTATGCGGCTGCCACCACCTCATGCTCTGCCTGCCTCAGCTCTTATTCTTAAACCAGCAGCAGCGCAGTGTCTGTGCACCAGCTGCTGCTTCAAAAGCAACATTATGGGGCTGCCAGGACTCAGATTCTGTGGGGTGGGGGCTAGTTGGAGCCTGGTGCTGGTGCCCTTATTGCCACCCCTAGTTATGCTACTGCTGCATGCTTCCCCTCCCTCCCCCAGCTTTTGCATCCTACAGTGCAGTGCGGTGCAGCACAGCCCATGGTGCCATGGGTGCCCATGACCAGGAAGCTAAGGGTGAGGCCGGGACATCTGCTGATGTATGGCCTGGGGGGCCCGTGGCTTGCAGTGGCTCAGCCGTGACTTAGATGCTGCAGTTATTGTTTTGCTCCAAGTGTGCATTTGGCTCAATATCTTCAGTGAATATTTTATTTAGAGCTCTATTCCTTAGAGCACTTTCAAAGCATTTAATTAGCCAGTGCAGCCGCAGCAACAAGAAACCCTTACAGTCCTGGAAAGAGCATGGAATATCATGCTCCATAAACAATACCTGCTCCCTAGGTTTGACACACTTTCCAATTAGCCAAGCTTGATGGGGCTTTGAAAGGTGACGTATTAAAAAAAATAACAGCAATGCCCCAAGCTTCTATACACATGTTTTTCATATTTAAAAGACAGCTCCGAAACATGAAATATTTAAAAGAAAACTTGGTTATTTCTGGTATTTTTACTTAAGGCATAAAAGGCTTAAAGGGGTTTAAAATGAACTTACTTCATATTTTATGTCTAATCTCTTTTACAACAAAAAAGGCAGAACAAGCCTGAAGCCAGGGTTATATGAGACTTGGGTAGAGCCAAGGTGTCAGAATCTCATAATTTAAGGAGAGATGTTATGAACCCAAGCATTTTTATACTTTCTGGAGAATCCAGAATAAACCAAAGATGAACTGGGGGGGGAGTCTTCTCAGTACTTCAATTTCAGTTTACTCAGCAGTGCTAGAGTGTGGTAGTAAGAGACACAAGATTATCCGTGCTGGTGTTCTTCCCTAGTTTATTATGTGAAAAATAAGGCATGGGCCTATGGGAGATTCAAAGCCTGAATACACACATTCCATGAATTTTTGGAAAGAGATAGTGAGGTTCAAGAGGCTATTAGTGGGTTTTTTTTGACCTGGTAGTCGTGATCAAAAGTTTAGTATCAGTTTTATTATTCAGCCATGCCAGGACCAAATGGTTATAAAAGGTCCACAGACAAGAAAAAAGCATGTTGTAATGTAATTGGGCTGTAGCATAGATGTTCCACAAAATATACATAGGAATATTTTGACAATGTAAACTTGTCTTCCAAATTCATGTTATGCAAATATTTGCTCTTACATTCTCTCTCTCTTTACTGCGCTTGCGTATACACATATTCTCAGGCTGACTATCAAACAGAAGAAGAGCTTTCTTTTGGTGAAATTGTGAGTCATTATGGAGAATAGTGGACTTTTGAGATCTATATTATATTTTCCATTCATTAAAAGTGGCATGTAGAACAGAAGAACCCAGATTCTTCACCAGATAAGGTTTTTTTTTCCCCCTGTGAACATGATGGTTTAGAGGCTAGCCAGGGGTATATACACCTGCAGTAAACAGTGGTGCAGGACCATGGATGTACCAGCTGGTCGCCATGGCTTTTATTTCAGAGGCTGCTGATTCTCTGATGAGGTGTGTGGGATGGTACCTACACATCAGCTGATGGCAGAAGTGATGTCCTTTGAAATAAAAACTGCAGCAAACAGCTGAACAGCTCTTTGTTAATTCAGTAACCTGTCGCAAGTTAAGCATGATGTGAACTATCCCCATACAAAAAATCCAAGTTTTACTGTATCTTCTTAACTGTGGACCCAGTTTTGAAGCTAATTATATATTTGGACTAATTTACTGTAAGCCAAATTTATGACTGGGTCAACAAGTACCACTGAGTCCATACCATTGTTCATTTGAAATAACTGGGTGCAGCGGCCTCTTTTTGGCCAGCCAGTTAGAAGCATGTTCAAAACTGTGTTCTTGCCTTATGTTGTCCTGTTTGGGCTTGAGTGCCATCGTGTATTGATCAGGTCAGGTTTTTTTTAAAAGTGTCTAAATGACTTAGGTTTTTACGTCCAATTTTTTAAAGGCGCGTAAGTCATTTAAGTGCCCAACTCTCTTTCAAAGAGGTAGGCTTCCTGGTACTTAGGTACTGTTTTTAAAGTGACGGAGCTCTTTTACAAATGGTATACAGCAGGGGTGTCCAACCTTTTTGAATGTAGGGCCGGATCATGAACTTTTTATCACCCAGTGGGCCAGCAAACCATATTCAAAGACCTCACAGGAAGCAGTATCACATCAGAAAGTGATGTCACGTGACCTTTGACACCAATGAAGTTGCAGGAAGTGACAATGAAATGGGTCTGGAAATGTGGTTTAAAATCCAAAATAAAAACAATATAAAAGCAACAATGAAATAATACCAAACACTTGACTAAAATAAACACTTTCGCATAAAGCATAATAAAAGAAGCATAATGCAAGTCGACAGATCAAATGTGGAAAAGATATCAGCCAGAGTGGAAACTAATCAAAGGTGGAGGGATATGTCGCTGCAGGAGACACCTGCGCAGCGCTTTGCAGCCTCGGCCGCTCGCTGCCTTGCAGGGGGCGGGTGGGTGGGGAGGGAGCAGGGGCTCCTCAGTGCATCCGAGAGGCTGTGAGAGAGACTTGTGGTTCAGCTGAGCATGGCCACAGCTGCAGCCGGGCACAGAGCAGAGCAGGGCAGGGAGAGCAGCTGCCATGTGCAGGAGCCCCAGTCCGGGCTCTGCCTTGTCCTCCTGGCTGCAGCCTCCCCAGGATGTGCAGGAAAGGCGCCCTCCGCTCTGCCACCGCCTGCCTTGCTGCCCTGGCAGCCATGTGTGCCTGCGCCGCCCCCTGCTCCTGCCTCGGCCCCACGCGGCTCTGCCACTGAGCTCTGGCCCCAGCCCCATGCCACTGCCTCTCCTTGCTTTCAAGGATGCCCGGTAAGTCATCTGGGCACCAGGGTGCGCATGTGTGCCTGGGCCCCGCCGCGGGGCACTGCTCACTGCGGGCTGCGCCTGGGAACCTTGTTCCTTCCCCAGCCCTTCAGCAGCCACTAGGAAGCTGCTGAGGGGCTGGGGGAGGGACAAGGGGTGGGAACGAAAGTAAAGAGTGTTTACTTTCATTTCCTGTTGCAGCACCTTGGGCATCAGAAAATGGCTTGGCGGGCTGCATGTTGGACAAGCCAGGTATACAGCATGTTTCCAGTCAAGTGTTCCTTAACAGCAAAATTCTGCTCTTCTCTTACAGTCATTATGCTGCTTGAAATACTGCTGACACTGGCCTTTGGGGCAACTGCCTACCTATACTTCTTTAGGAAGAAGGAGGAGACATTGCCTATTGAAGACAGATGGTGGGGCAGTGGCCAGAAACCTGATTCCGAAGAAGATGCAACTGTTCATCCATTTAAGGTGGAAACCACAGATGAAGAGCTGAATGTAAGAAAGTTTATTTTCTGGGTAGAGAGTAGGACATGGCTGAATACATGCATAATTCATTTTGGTGTGATTTCAAATGGAACCATACCTAAAGTTACAGAAGTGAAATAGAACTAATGAAATTTAGCTCTGATGTATAAATATTAATGGCATAAAACTTTGCTTTCATTCAAAAAGCAGTTGTGGATAAGTAAACTTCAAGATCCAGTCATAGTTTGTTGTGTTCCCAGCTGGCTGCTGTCATATTAGTAGCATGTGAATCTACTTGGTAAAGTCTGATAATCCCAGATGACAAAGCACATGCAGTGGAATCTGGTTTTGGCAATTATTCAGATCTTTGTTGCTGTGCTTGCCCCTCATTCAGACTTGTCATTATAGAGGCCAGATTGGGACTAATGTATTTTAACTTACTCTTCAAAGGCAGGTCAGCATTTCTCACTTGTTTGAGTGCAATGTGGCCACCAGTAAAGACCATCACAATCAGGGGGAATGCTAGTTAAGGCAGGGTGATAAGTGCAGTATAGATGAAACACATATATGATAGGATTTTGTAAGTAATAAAAGTTTTGTTTGTTCATGTGCCCAATGGCGCAGTAGTTCAAAAATTCTGTACAAAATGGGTTTTCTGGATTTGTTCCTTTATAACAGTTTTCCATTATTTTATTATTTTATTCAATATAACTTGCTTTTTCCCCTTTTATATGTAAAAAATAAATTAGTGACCCCTATTAAGTGCTCTTTTCCACTGCAAGGTAAAAGTGTGCTTAACTGCTGACTTGAAGGCAGCTTTTAAATGAAAATGCACAATTCTGTTCTATATGAAAGCTATTGTAAAATAAAAATCAGATGGTATTAAACTGTTTGGGTTAGGTATAAGAAAATTTGAAATCTTAAGCTAGAGAATGTGGTGATGTTAGCACATGGTAGTTACATCATTTTTTTAAAGTCTAATGCAGAGAAGTCAGCGGGGTACATGAAGACATGAGGAAACATGATAACTTTAGCTAAGATAGGAGATATTGAAGGCAGCGTGCCTTGTCTGCACTCAACTTTTAAAAAGAACCTGTTAGTTAACGTGCTAACATCGAGACTTTAAACAAAGATGAATCTTTCTGTTAGCTCTATTGGAAATTATCCACATGTTTGTGAATCTGAAGATACTGCCCAGGATGAGACCCCTACAATGGTTTGCAGTCATGAGGTGAATCTTGTTTTGTACAAACCATACCTCTTTACTGAATGGTTATTACCATATCTGCATGAGCTCTTACTCCACAGTTTAAGGGTCACTTTAGCCATTATTGTGGAACTGGAAACTGTTATTGTTAATTTATTTTCACTATGAGGATTGCAAAACTGGGCTCCAACAACATGATCTTTTTTTTCAGAATTGCCCACTTGCATGCATAGGGCAGGCACATATACTATTGACCAGCAATCTGCTTAGGCTCTTAAGTCACATACACACTTTTGAAAATCCCACCCTGAAGCACCAAATCTGTTACTGGAGTGTGTGGAAAAGGGAAAGGATCAGCACGAGCATGATGCAGAATGGATGTAAGCATCGAAAACAAGCTGCTTTGTGAGACCCTGCTCTTCAGCTACTATGAAAAGTTTTCATTCTCCTCTGGTTGTGGGAGCAGCAAACAGACCCAGCCTTACTGGACAAAGACAAGAAAAATGGTGTGGAAGGCATGGCACAGACAGAACAGGAAGGGGGAAAGAGCATCAGTGGGTGTAGAGTGAAACATCAGCAAAGCAGCAAATCTCACAAACAACACATGGCGATAAAGTAGGAAGTGTCCAGAGTAAAACATGTTTGTGTCTATGGTACTGTCTTATTTCATCTTTTGTTTTCCTTCAGCTCCTTTCTTTTTTTGTTCGCTGTAGGACTTATTTAGAAGACTTGATCAAGCTCGATTCACAGAACCACTGGAAGACAGTTGCTTCTGCTATGGCATTAACTCTGTTTATCTCAGGAAAGTGGTCTCCTACTGGAGAAATCAGTTCAACTGGAAGAAGCAAGTGGAAGTTCTTAACAAATTCCCACAGTTCAAAACTAAGATAGATGGTGTGTGGTTTTCTTGTAAAGAGTTCATTTTAAATGTTATGATTGCCCTTAGCTTGAGCGCCCTGTTTGATTTGGTTCAGTGCTATTGATAAAGCCTATTTCTAGTGATACAGATCAGTGCAGAGTGGTTAGTTTTATTCTCTTTGGTAGTCCGATTAACTTCAGGTGAGAGCATCTGTGAGTATGGATTTATAGGATTGGGTTTTGCACTTCAAGACAAAGCTGCTATGAACTATGTACTAGTAGTTTTGGTGCTCCTATCAATACTAGTAAGTGGTACACTCTGAAATCCAAACCCTGCTGCTATAGTGGTATCATCTCTAATGAGAGATATAGGGATATTTTTTGCCACCATTTTAGCACTAATAGTATATGCAGTGAGAGCAATGTTGTGGCTGACTGCTCAGAGTTTTACAACTGTATAATGAGTTTTACAACTGTGGGTGGGTGACACCATGGTAAAAATGCTGTTGGCAGCTCTAAATAAATTTTCTCTCCAGTCAGTATCAATGAAACTACACCACTGCCACCTATGGTAAGACATTTTCTTACATGTCTCAGTTGAAACAAGGCTAAAGAATGCCAAGCACAGTGTCCTATTGCATTCACAGTATCTCCATTGAAACCACAGAGTGCTAAGTACAGACATGTTAAAGATTGTTGGACCTCAGTGTTCCCTGGTTTGTTCTAAAACATGCAAAATATCAAAATTGCCCTGTGGTATCAGCCATGGATGCCATATCTTCTTCTTCCTTTACCCCTTCTTTCATCTGCAGTTTTCCAGCTATCACTTACTCCTTTAGCCTCTCAATCTCAGTCTCTCAGAGACTCCATTGTTGGGTCTGAGAAGGCCTGGAGGACCTCAATGGGTCCCATCATATTTATGGCAGAAGAGCAAGTGACTGTTATTCCAAAGGGATCATGCACTCTGTTATAACATCAGCCTCTGACCACAGAATTGTGTTTCCCTTTATAGTATCATGGTATACTGGTAGGTGGCCAGGCTACCTCTTTTTATTTTTAAATATACTGAGAAAATCTCTTGAAAGTGGTTGAGGTAGTGCTGAGATAGACCAGCTGCTGTCTAATGGAACCTTTGAAAAGCTTGGAGCAGAATTAGGCTTGCTTATTCATCTGCTTTGTGGGAAGAAGTTGTAAATTCAGGGCCAAGCAAACAGATTAAGGTAAATGGCTGTGAATTCAAGCTTAAAATAATGTTTACTTGAAACTATAAATGTGCACTTTAAAAAAAAAAAGAGTTAACCTTAGGAGACTAGCTGGGTTTTTCGCCAGGGTTCTGTAATGGTTGGTGTACAGAGACTTCATTTGCATGCTGACAATATGTGTGGTGCTACATGAGATAAAAACAATGCTTTCTGGGCTTTCAAAAGATTTGCAGTCTAAAAGACAGACACATAGAATAGGGGAGGCTGGGCACATTGGGCAGGCATAGAGCAAGGAGTAATTAATCCTCTTTTCCTATGAAGAATTGTTACTAGGTTGGGCAGAAGAGCATGATAAGGTAAGATCAAACATGTAGTTGGTGCCTTCCTTGTTTGACTGTTATGATGGTTAATTAACCTTGTATTGCACTTTAAAGACCCAGAAATGTGCAGAGAATTTGAGTGTTTATATAGTTCTGGTTAAAATCCAGAGTCATTAGCAATGCCTTATGAATAGATTCATTCCTCATCTCTTGCCTTTTGATGATTAGTCTTTGCATAAGTGGGTGTTTAATTAACCAGTTTTATTTTTACAGGCATCAGTGTCCATTTTCTTCATGTAAAGCCTCCCCACCTACCTGAAGGCCACTCTGCAAAGCCATTGTTAATGGTTCATGGCTGGCCTGGCTCATTCTATGAGTTCTACAAAGTTATCCCCCTCTTGACGGATCCGGCAAGCCACGGCCTGAGTGATGAACATATCTTTGAGGTCATTTGTCCATCCATCCCTGGCTACGGCTTCTCAGAAGCACCACATAAAAAAGGTATATTGTCTGAATGGAGCAGAGATTGCACTGACCCAGTGTTTAGCCTCCCTGTGGTGAGGAATTGGTTAAGGCTTTTTCCCTTACTCTGTTCCATATGTTCTGTGCAGAGCAGACAATAAAATATCTTTTTCTTATAATATACCTCATTGTATACCTGTAAAGCCAGGATATCAATCATACAGGCTGGATCCAAGGCCTGGATCTAGCCCATGGAACCACTGTATGAGACCCACTGGGCTATAGACAGGTTACCGAAAGTTTGGCATGTGGGCAGGGGTAGTAGCCTGCTGCATAATCTAGGGCCCTTGGGCCTCAGTGTACAGGAGGGTGAGCAAGGGCTGATACAGTCTGTTGAAGACCCAGCTCCAGCTCCTCAGCTGCGAGCCCTATTGCCTGTGACCACTGCTGCATACTGTGCTCTGGAGTCAGTATCTCATACCCTGTGCTCCACACAGCCACTGCATGCTTTGTACTAGTGCCACTCTATGCCCTGTGCTGGAGCTGGAGCTGGAGCCAGCACCACATGTCTCATGCTCTGTGCTGGAGCCAGAGCCCTGTGTTCTGTTCCACTGCAGCATGTCCAGTGCTGGAGCTGGAGCTGGGGCCGGAGCCAGTGCTGCATGCTCTGTGCTCCATGCTGGAGCTGTTGCTCTGTGTTCTGTGCCAGAACCACAGCCCTGGCGTGAAACACGTCAGCAGCAGCAGCTCCAGGTCTGGCATAGGGAATGCAACACTTGGCAAGAGCCAGATCCAGTGCTGTCGCCATCTCCACTGCTGCTGCTGCCAGAGCCACCCCATTCTCTGGGCTGGATCTGGCCCACAAGAAGCTCCATGGTCCATATCTGTCCTGGGTCAGGAGGTGAGTTTGACACCCCTGCTGTAAAGCACATATATATCATGTGGAAACCAAAGGAAACGTGGCTGGAAGCAGATATCTTCAGTGGAGCATGATCAGCTGCATGGATTGTGTGCCATGATATGTTTATAGATATTCCCAGCTGTCACACCTCAACTTGGTGCAAGTAGGGAAAACTTAGGTCCCTCTCCTTTGCATTTGCAGGCACCCCGCACGCTTCCAAATGTGGAGGGGAGGACTTGCACTGGGGTCCCACATGGGGAAATCCTCTGCAGAGGGATTTCCCCACACACCTGTAAACATAGAGGAACCCTTGTATTGTATCCCCCTCTATTAGGGCTGTGTGAAATTTTGCTGGCCATTTCATTTGACACTGTTTCGATTCATTTTGAGGTCGAAACAGCAAAATTGAAATGAAACAGCCTCAAAACAAAGCGAGGCTAGTCAAAACTTTTCAGAAGTTGAAATGTTTCGACCATAGTGCTGGGAATGGGAAGTCAGTCCAGCTGAGCTGATTCCCCATCCCCCACACTATATCGCACTGGGAGTCAGCCCAGCTAGCATGGGGGTGATGGGAAGTCAGCCCAGCTGGGCTGAGTTTCTCCATCCTGATTGTGGGGCTGGGGTTGGGAACTCGGCCCAGCTGGGCTGAGTTCCTTTCCCGAGCCCAATGGTTGGGCGAAATGTCGAAACAGCATCAAAACAGCCTTGCTGTTTCGACTCGAAATTAAATTTGATGCAAAACACTGTTCCGTCCAGCCCTCAAAACTGAAGTCGGAATGGAACAGTGCCTTTTCACACAGCCCTACCCTCTATGCTTGCAGATCTGTGCTTGCAGATTCAAGTGCCCCCCTCCATACTTGCACGCACCCTCAGGGAAATCCCTTTGTAAGAGGTTTCCCCACAAGGGTCGGCAAGCCATGTTGGTGTATATTTCTAGCAAAAGCACAGAGCATGGGCTGCAAAAGCAGTGGGGGGACCTCCCCATGGGAGTCCCTTCAGAGGGATTTTCCTGCATGCTACCCAGAGTGCATGTCTGTAAATGGGGATTTCCCGCTTGCAGACATGCATCCCAAAGCCCAAACACTCCCCAGTTACCCAGACACGTCCCCTGAAGGGTTGTCTCTGAGTAAGTGGGAAGGAGAGGCAAGTGTTCTCAGGATTTGAGGGGGCCAAATCTGTCCCTCAGGCCCTTGGAGCCCTGCCCTGGGGAGGCTGGAGAGCCTGCGCAGCTTTATGCAGCCCAGATTATTCCTCCATCAGCAAACAGATATGGGTAGGGCCACAATAAAGTGGCCCAACTTCATACACCACCTTATGTCATGGCCATAAATTTGAGCATTTGTGGTGCTACAGAAGTTATGGACATCTGTTTGCTTTCACTTTGTGCCATTGTAAAAATGTTTATGGTGGCACAAAGATGACAGCTGTTTCTACCCTGTGTGACTTAATGGACAGTGTCATTTTGGGACTTATATCTATATAGTCTTGGCATAGTTTAAAAAGCAAAAGAATTCTTTGTAAAAGCTAATAAGGAGGGGAATTTCTGACTTATTAAATAAAATCGAAAACCATGAGTGGTGTGGGTTTTTTAAAAAATGTTTTAGTTTTGAATCCAAAAGCGACATCCAAATGGTCATGAGAACCAACAAATTAAACTGATTATTCTAGAGTCTTTAGGCCAGTAATTCTCAACTTTTTCAGACTCAAGGTGCCCTCAGAAAAGGCCAGCTCTTGCTTTCACTCATTTCTTGACTACAGATAAATGATGGAGCAATTATTCTATTGCAAAGGACTCAGAAAGACCACTGCAGGTTAGAATGTTTTTGACTCTGTGGATTTCTACTTGGAATGCCTGGGTCTATCTTGTGAATCATGTGTAGGTGTTTGCACACCTAACAGTGCTAATATTGTGTGGCACACCACAGCATCTCTAAAAGTATCTGATGGCACCCCAGGATACAACATCACCCTAGTTGAGCATCACTGTTTTAGTCAAACTGTGTTACAAACAAAAAACAAGCAATCATCAAGATGCTAAAATGAAAATTTAAGGCCGTTATAGTGTGAAGCAACAGAGAAATTATTTTAAAATATAACTTTTTAGCATTCCTCCACAAAATATGAAAATTGGATGATACCCTAATGTGCTTTGTGTTTAGTTTTCACACCCTCAAGATCTGTAGTAGCGTACAGATGGGGAAAGCAGAGTTAAATGACCAAGAGCCAGGTATGTATTGTAGCATGTCAAGGTAGAAATGAGAAAGGGGAAATGGGCTGCCCATAACAGTTCTCAGTACTGGAGAAACTTGTGTGCTGTGCTCTGCAGCAGTGGGATCTGTCATTTATCAACTAGAATACACAATGTTAATCCATTAAGCAGGCTTGGGGAGGACATAGGAGGAAAGAAATTTGGGAAGCTGCCCAACTATGTAAGAGCAGAGTATACATATGTGTGTGGCTTTTGGTAGCTTAGGATCATTGAATGGCATGCAGCATCAGCATGTTCTAGAAATGATTGAAAGTTTGGCAGGTGACACACCTGAAGTTTTGGTTGGTGACTGAGGCAGTAACATATGGTGCCCTTTTCTTTTTGCAGGATTTGATTCTGTGTGTGCTGCCTCTATCTTCTATAAACTGATGCTCAGACTGGGATTCCATGAATTCTATGCTCAAGGAGGGGACTGGGGCTGGCTGATCTGTACCAACCTGTCTCAGATCGCTCCCAAGTGAGTATCTTGGCATAGTGCTGTATAATCAATATACAAGACTGTTTTTATTCTTAACGTAGCAGACTTATGAAGGGCTCTAACCCCTGCCTTTAATTGGGTAATGTGCAATTTTCCCCTAAGTTGTGGTGCATCACTATCCTGATCTAGATCACTGCTGATGCTCTGGTCCTGGGCTTTGCTCAGGTAGAAATGGGCAGTTGTGTGGCTATTTTGTGATGGCTGCTAATCAGGCCTAGAGAGGGAAGAGCTCTGGTAATGAGAGAGAGATCTTGAACCCACTCGTTGAAAAGGAGACCTGTGAGCTTCAGTCCTTTTGAAATATGCAGCTGACCAAAGGTTGTATGCAACTTGCTGCTTGAACCTTTCAAGGCCGGGGGCCACTAGAGCAGGGGCCGGCAATTATTTTGGGCAGAGGGCCACTTACTGAGCTCTGGCAAGCCATCAGGGGCTGTGTGACAGGCAGCCAGGGGCAAATAAGTATTAATTTTCTTAATTTGGGGAGGGGGGGCCCATGGGCCGGATAGAATGGCCTGGCGGGCCACATCTGGCTCCCAGGCCACATTTTACCCACCCCTGCAGTAGAGCCGTGTGCTGTAAGAGATCTGTGTGACTGAAACTAGAGAGGTTGTGCCTCTAATGTGTTGTAAGTATTTTTATTCATAAAATTAATCCCAAATGTCTCTTTTGTTAATTTGTATCTCATTTTTTAATGTGTTTAGCCACGTAAAGGGCCTCCACTTAAACCTGGTTTCGGTTTTGAACATGAGATTTACGCAGTTGCTGTCCATTCTGTTGGGCCGCTACTTCCCAGGACTCTTTGGATTCCAGGAGGAAGATGTCAAGCGGATGTTTCCTTTCTTGCAAAAGGGCCTGTATAAGATGTTGATGGAGTCTGGCTATGCTCACATTCAAGCTACCAAGCCCGACACTGTTGGTAATGAGACTTACCAAAAATCCCACAGTATTGTACAGTCATCCTGTTATTTGTAGGGAAAACTGTACTCTGAGCTGATTATTTTTATTGTACCAAAACCAAAATACATCTAAGAAGACATGCAAATAATCAGTATTTTCCAGGAAAAAAATCTAGAGGCTAGTTTTCAAAAACTCTGTATGGCTTGTTGTGCACATGCTGTTGTCAAGGGTGTGTACGCAGATATAGTACCTTGACATGCATGCAGCCAGCTCTGCATTGAACTGACCCCAGGTAACAATTGTTCCCGATCTTCTCTAAATGACTTCAACCTCATTTTTAGTTTACATCAGTGGTGCTCAACCTTTTGGCCCTACAAGCCCAGATGAGTGGTGTGGGGTTGGCACACAGGTGGATTCCTGTGCACCACTCAATCCCCTGTGCCAGATCCAGATATGCTCCAGATTGACCTCTGCCTCAGCCTGACCCCACACATCAGATCTGGCTGCAAAGTGACCCAGTATGCCAGCCCTGCTGCGGACCACTGATCTAGTGAACAGGGCCATGTCATCCCGCCTGCAGGGCTCCCCATGGGCCTGGAAATTTGTCTGTTGTTGCTTCTTTGCTGCCAAATTTCTGGACCTGTGGGGTGCCCCACAGGCTGAATGACACAGCTCTGCTGACTGGATCTGGCCCATAGGTTGGAGGTTGAGCACCACTGGTTTATATAACTGGGGTATTTATAATGATCCAGAAAGGTATTGTAATTTCTTCTGTAGTTTCTGGAGTTGAGTCCACTTCTGTGACCACAACTCCCTTAGAGTCAATGCATAGTCTCTCAGTAGAAAATGCATTAGATATTAAACTGATGTTAACTGCTCTTGGCTGTTTCAGCACATTGGGCTAGATTGGTGTGTTATGATAAGTAATACCCTACAGTTTATACAGTCAATCAAATGTAATTATTCACTGATATGAATCAATTACCAACTTTCAGAAGAACTGACTGGAGGCATTGTGGGAAACAGCCAATTCTTTCATTATAACAATGGCTTATTCTTTCTGAACTAGCTAATTCATTTAGATTGCCAGGCCACATTAGTGCTTCCATTTAGCAGTAACTTTTGTTACTGATTGGGACAACTGACTCTAAAAGCTGAATAAGGAAGTTAGTCCTGTGTAATTTAATTAAGAGACAAAAAGGTGTAAGGGAACTTTCCTTGTGTCAAGAACATAGGTTTTTCCTATAATGCATGTTTTAAACATAGCTTCAGAAACTGTGTTTGATAGTAATAACAGCTATTATTTTGAGAATGCTACAGTGTGTAGCCAAAATGGGATTCTGACTTAGAGTCATAACACACTGTGGGAATGCTCTGATTTACCTTCTAGGTCGGAAGTTTTCTCCAGACTCTTAGTGTTGTCTAATTAGTAATTACCTGCTGATTAAGGAGGAGGGGAGCTGCAGATGACAGACTGTTCAGGACAGGGTCAGAATGAAGAGGTGTCTTAGCTTATGAACTCAGGAGTGTGCCAGTCGAGGGCGGTGTCTTCTTTGACAGATGGCAGTTGGTAGTACACTGCTTTTGCAGTCATGAGGCATCCATGCTGGCACGTTACAGAATGAGACTGTGGATCTGCAGTTACCCCTGCAGACTTTGGGGAAAACTTGCACTGCTTGTTGGCTTACCATCAGTGGATGGCAGCATTTCAGTATGTGTCTGGCAAATGTATTTAATTCAGTGAGAGGCAACAGTTGTTTTTTTCATTGTGAAAAGTTTCCAGTGGGGACACTGCCTTGGTTTTGTAAGAGAGATACTTATCTACTCTGCCCACCTCACGGTGGTCTCAATGAGAATGAATTGATGCCTACATGGTATTTTGGACAGGGAAAGCATATACATGTCAAATATTACTACTTCAGCACTTGGAATTTAGGTTTTAAGCCTCAGTCACCTGATGGTTGAAACTTTGCTAGTATTATTGATATTTTTAACCAGTGGTTGCCTTCATAATTTTTTCCAAAGTGTTAAAAGCATCTTCTCTATGTGGGTGGAACTTTAAGTATAGGTTTGTTTGCATCAGCAGCATGCTCTTGAAGCCAAAAGCTGGGGAAGTTCTGGAAGGTGGAAGTACACACATTGTAAAGCTGGAAAAGTCCAGGATCTCTTTGTCACGCAGGACTGGGAAAGAATATTATGACATCCAGCATTTAAAGCCCTGGAAGCAGGTGTTGTTTCACTGGTCAAGCCAAGTGAAGCATAAAAATAGAATGTAAATGGCAATAAGTAAACTAGCTAATCTTTGGAAGGTAAAATATCAGGCAGTAGGAACACACAAGAGGCTATGTTAAAAACAATGCTATCCTCCCAACCCCCAACTAAATGGTATTCCTTAAAAAAACTTGTCCTGTGTGACGGTATGGGCCAAATGCTGCTCATCTCTCACAAATGGGCAAGAGGATTCAGCCCAGTAATGCTGTTCTTAAGAGGAAGTATCTTTCAAATACTAATGGAGGCAAAAGCTTAATCTTATTAATTTATAAAAATGGTGGTAGAAATCCAATTCTTTTACAGTTTATTTGAAAAGTGCAGTATGGAGGTTAACACTGGATTTATTAGCATGCAGATGCAATTGACTTATGATTAGTTGGTTGTAGGTTCTGACTTGTTCTCTTTGTGATAGCTTTAAAAACACCTTTACCTATTCTGTGTATTATCATAGGCAGCTCTTATGCAGCTTGAGGTGAAGAGTGGTGTATCCTCACTTTACTTTTAAATTTTCTCTTCCTTCCAGGCTGTGGCTTGAATGATTCACCTGTGGGGCTTGCCGCCTACATCTTGGAGAAGTTTTCAACATGGACTGATCCTGAATACCGGAAACTGGAGGATGGAGGACTAGAAAGGTCACTACATCTTCCTCTTTTACTCACCACTAGCCTTTGCCTAATATTCTGGATGAAGTTACTCAAACAGTGTTATGTTTAGATGATAATTTCTCTGGGTTATTTGGTTTACCTGCCCTTCTGAGCAGATACACCAATGGTTCCCTTAAAGCCTAGGTAGAGAAATACTGGTACATGCAGAAGAAGCATACCCTGCTACTGCCTAATCCTGTACTTGTTTAGCAGGTAAACAGAGAACTTGAGTTTCAAGGATTGTTATTTTGGCACCATGCACAAGCATTAACATCACAGGTAATAAACGGAAGCAAAGACTATTTGGAAAATTGAAGGGAGGAGAAATTATTTTATAAAAAAACACCAAAGATTTTGTCTGTATTAAGGTCTCAGGAAATATCATTTTTGATTCCGTGTCATGCAGATCTTTCTTTATCCAGTGATTTACTTTAAATTAAATATTGTCAGACAGTGTGTGTAGTACAAATAGGCCAATCTTGGATACGGGTAGAAATCTGTGGGAGATTCTCAAGGCACCCTGAAAGTCATTGAGCTCTGACTGGAGCTGAACCTGGGTACATGCTAGGATAGGCTCTGATGAAAATTATTTGATTAAATTTTTCCTGTGAATTGGTATGATGCAAGAAGCAAGATTTGTGAGGTGAGGCAATATCTTTTATTAAATCAACTTTATAGTTGGGAGTGATGTTAGACAAGGTTTTGGGCACAAAATATCTTTCCTCAGGTCTGGAAAAGCAGCAGCTACAGACAAAGATAAATACTAGTAATAATACTTACTTTTATCTAACACTGTGATGTAAATGATAACGATCACTTGGGAAATGGGCACTAAACCTGTGAGGGCAAAGAGAAGTTATCAGAATTAGTTACACACCACCTTGCTGTAGTTAAACATATATAATCCATTATGTTAATGTATAAGACCATTCAAAGGGGAAGAGGGCCATTATCACATGTGGAGCAAAGAGAAGGTAACAGAGTAGGTAATAATTAGACACAGAATCATTGTCCATGTTGAGTCCATGGTTTTTGGTGTCTAGTAAAGTTATTATTTTTTGTTCTTAGGTCTGTTTTCTAAAGGTATTGTGAATGAGGACTGTGAGGTTATGGACGGAGTGGTGGTTCTTTGAAAAGCATACCCCCACTGGTGACTGGTTATTTCTGTCCTATATCACTTTTCCGTGGAAGTTCATTCTGGAACATAGTGGCTGTTTAGCTTCACCCACAGTTTCCACCCAGGGCATCTGATGCAATGAACGGTGCAATTGGTTTGTGATAGGCACGTTCCGGATCCAGGAATTCTGATGGCTTTCTTGTGTGGGCTGGTTTATGGGAGTGCTGGAGATGTATTGGTAGGTTTTGTGTTTGCTTAAAAAGGGTCTTGTTCTGTTGGTGTTTTGTTGATCAAAGAGTCTGCTGATGAGTTTGGCAAGGATGAGGTTTTGGGAAAACTTCTTTCAAGGTGGGAGCTTCTTCAAGTGTAGGTTGTAATTGTTTAATGATCTTTCTCTTTAAGTTCTGGTGTAGGGTGGACTAGATCAATCTGTAAAGTCAGTGGGAGGTTTCTTTCAGTATTATACTAGGTTTGTGTTGGGTATTTGGATGGCTCATTCAAAGATGTGTACTGCATCATTTTTACAATCTTGGATAAAACAGTTTTTAGATTGCCAGAGCATTCTCAGAGCAGGTGCAGTGGTACGTGAGGGCCTGGCTGCAGACTACAGCTTCCCTGGTGTGTTTGGAATAGTCATGAGTCCTGTTGAGATAGATGTGGTAATCTATGGCATTTTCTATACGGCTGTTTGTAGGGTGCTATTCTGGATGTGGACCACAGCCTCTAGAAGTTGATATCTGTGTAAAAACATTCTGGAGAGAATCTGATGGAAGGATAGCAATGGTGGAAGTTGTGGTGGAGATTAATAAACAAATCCTGGTGTTCAGTCAGGATGGTTATGATGTTGTACCGTACTAGGTATACAAAAGGTGTGCTGATACAGTTTGTTAAAAACTGTTCGGGGTGAGTCATGAAGAAGGTGGCACATTGGGTGTGGGGGGACATCTTTGTGCCCATGCTTTGGAGAAAGTGACCATTTTTCAAGATAAAGCTGTTGTGTGTGGCGATAAAACAGACACATTTCCCAGTACCTTGTAGTTGGAAATCCAAGTGTTGTTAATTATTTGGGGGAGGCTGTTGTGCCTCCATAGTATATCAGATGCCAGGGTATAGGCTGGGGATAACTGGGCTGGCCAGGATACTGTTCTCAGGGGTGGTTTATGTTGTAAATTTTGAGTGAGGAAATATGTTGGGTCTGGTATAAAACTTGCTATTTGTGTGATGAGTGGTCTCTTGTCAAACATCTTTCTCAACTATAATGTTGGTCCAATACAAAATATTGCCTCACCTCACAAAACTTGCTTCTTGCCTTATTCCCTGGACCATCTCCTTCAAACAACAGCAGTACAACACACTGGGGCCAAAATAAACTCTTTGGTCATGTCCACATGAGTGTGGATGTTTAGTTCCCTGGGGACAACTAGTGGAGGGACACTGTACTGCTGCTAGTTGTTCCTGGGGAACACCTGTGCCATGCACCCTCTAGCCATGGCAGGCTACCCCAGGTGGGGTAGAGGAGGTTGGGGCCAGCATTGGGCTGGCCCCAACAGCCTTACCTGAGGTCCTGGGGGCCTCCCGGGGCTGCAGCAGCGGTGATCCTGCCGCTCAGAGCCTGGCCGGCAGCTGGAGCATGGCTCTGGCTGGCCAGGCTCCAGTTTTGAGCAGCGCACACTGCCCCTGTGTGCCACTCTTTTTTGGTGCAGGATTTTTTGTGCCCATGCAGGGCAGAGAACAGCTGTATGTGTGGCATGTGGCACCATAGATGTGTCTGTGGCACCACATACTGCATGGCCACACTCCTCTGGATGCGGCCTTTGTGGTAGAGGTTAGTCAGGTGTCTGTATTTCTGTCAAAAGCTTATGATGATGTTGAAGTCAATGAAGAATAAATGGCACAAGCTGCTTTACATGATTAGTTGCTTCTATCTGCCTATGTAGGAGATAGGTTTAGATACGGAAGGTGCTGTGAGTCCATGATCTGTTTTCAGGGTGTTGGATTCTATGTTTCTTGTGAGGATGTTAAATTATCTCTTTGATGTTGAAACATATAAACCCTAAACAATCAGGAAGGGGAGTGCTAAAAAGTTAGTAGAAGTTGGAAATGCTTGGATGAGCTGTGAGGGAGAGTTGGGAGTCGGGTAGTTTTTGAAAGAATGTGGGAACATTGTTGTTCATTAGCTTCTTTTGCTCTAATTTTGACAACAAGCCAAAGTGAAAAGCTTCCCAGTAAGATCTGAAATGATTATCATACATGGAACAGTGTTCAGCTCTCATAAGGCTATTTTTGGATCAACCTTTTCAGGAAGTACACTCTGGATGACCTTCTCACTAACGTCATGATCTATTGGGTGTCGGGCTGCATGGTTTCTGCCATGCGTTTCTACAAGGAGAATATAGGGAAGGGGATTGGCACACAGAAACATGATAAGTAAGAGGTTTTCTTTTCTGTGTTTCTTTTTGACTTTGCAGGTGGGCAGGTTAGTATGGCAGGTGGGCGAGGCATTGGGGGGCGGGGGGAGGAAGCTGCCTCACCACATGTACCCTGGTCACATACTGGACAAATCTGCTCAGTTATTTCTGCTGTATTTCTCAAGTGTACTGTTATACATTCTGTAAAAATACTGCAGTCTGTTACATGTAGCTCAATGGGGGGGGGGGGG